CAACCTCCACCTCCTGGGTTCAAGCAATTCTCCTGCCTCAGCCTCCCAAATAGCTGAGACTATAGGCACATGCCACCATGCCTGGCTAATTTTGTAATGTCAGTAGAGATGGGGTTTCACCATGTTGCCCAGGCTGGTCTCGAACACCTGATGTCAGGTGACCCACCCACCTCAGCCTCCCAAAGCGCTGAGATTACAGGCGTGAGCCACTGCACCCAGCCAACAAGTATATATTTCTAAAGGTTTATGATTCTTTTAAGTTATATTTTTCTTTGGTCCTTGACTCTGGATGATTTTTTTTTTTTTTTTTTTTTTTTTTTTTTTTTGGAGACGAAATTTCGTCCCTGTTGCCCAGGCTGGAGTGCAAGTGGCGTGATCCCAACTCACTGAAACCTCCACCTCCCAGGTTCAAGTGATTCTTCTGGCTCAGCCTACCGAGTAGCTGGGACTACAGGCATGTGCCACCACCCCTGGCTAATTTTTGTATTTTTAGTAGATGGGGTTTTGCCGTGTTGGCCAGGCTGGTCTTGAACTCTTGACCTCAGGTGGATCCACTGGCCTTGTCGTCCCAAAGTGCTGGGATTACAGGCGTGAGCCACCGCGCCCAGTAGAGCTTAACCTTCTTTCCACTTCCCTGCATTCCCCAGAGATCTGTTATAAACAGTTTAGCTTTTTAGACTTTGTTTGCAAATATATACATATAAAACATCTTTTTTTTTAAGACAGGGCCTCACTCTGTCGCTCAGGCAGGAGTGCAGTGGCACCACCATGGCTCACTGCAACCTCTGCCTCCCAGGTTCAAGCGATTCTTGTGCCTCAGCCTCCTGTGTAGCTGGAATCACAGGCACATGCCATCATGGCTCAGCTAATTTTTTTATTTTTAGTAGAGACGTGGTTTTTCCATGTTGCCCTAGCTGGTCTTGAACTCCTGAGCCCAAGTGATCCTCCTGCCTCGGCTTCTTAAAGTGTTGGAATTACAGGCGTGAGCCACTGCGCCGGCATGTTATTATAGAAATGGGGTTTGCCATGTTGGCCAGGCTCTTTTTGAACTCCCAGTTCAAACAATCCACCTGCCTTGGCTTCCCAAAGTGCTGGATTACAGGTGTGAGCCACTGTGCCTCGTCTGTAATTAGGAGTTTAATAGAAATGATTTAGGAGTGTAAATGGAATAATGGTTCACTGCTTATGGAATGGCCCTACATTTGCGGCGTTTACACACCCGGCTGGGATTAGATTGGATTGGAATATCACAGCAAAATAGTCTTGCAAACAAAAAATCTAGCTTTTTTTGGGTAAGGTCTTCTTAAAAATTTATTAAAAAAAAAAAAAAAAAGTCTAGCTTTTTCTGGGTGGAGTCCTGGAGTGAGTGGGTGCAAAACGGGGCTGAGGCATCACTTCAGTCTCAGAGGCAGTTCCTAATTGGGAGCAGTCTATCTTGATTGATCCTGGTGCAGTTGCTGAGAAACCGAGGCGTTTTCCAAGACGAAGATGATTATTTGAGAGGAAGAGTTTGCAGAGAACCTTCAGGAGTCTTGTGTATTGTGGGAAGAACTGTGCACTCAGGACTGGGGGATTGGAGTTCCTGGGGCTAGCCCTTTCCTTCACTGGGTCCTCAGGTTTCCTTTACCCTTAGATATGGGATTGGGTTAACTGGTTTCTATGGCCCCTTCCATTGGGAAGAGCTTAAGCTGCTGTTTTGCCTGAGGTGTAGTTCCTGCCTTCCTGGAGCTTGTAGTCTGGTTTAATGAGAGTATTCATTTCAGCTCCTTCCCTCCCCCTGCGGTGAGAGGGTATCATCTGATGAGCATGAGAAGGTGAATGCTAAGAAATGGCAGCAATCAGTCCCTCTTACAGTGTCACTTCTCTACCACCTGGAGAGAACCTTTGCCTTAGCCACAGTCACTTTCCCTTTGATTGGTAGAGCCACCACTGATTTATAGTTTGCCAAATGCTTTATATATGAAAGTGCCCTTTGAACAGCCCTTTCAATTTTTTTTTTTTTTTCCAGGTTGATTCCAAAGATAGTTCTCATAATTCCACAAACTCTGAATTTGCAGCTGAAGCTGAGGGTCAGAGTGATATGATTGAGGAACCCAACAAGGTCCAGAAAAGGAAGAGGGATAGACTTCGAGACCAGGGCTCCACAATGATCTACTTAAAGGCTATCCAGGGCATCTTGGGGAAATCGATGCCAAAAAGGAAGGGAGAGGCTGCCACTAGGGCAAAACTAAGCACAGCAGAGCATCCCAGCCGTGGAGAAGGACCAGCGAGGAGTGAAGGACCAGCAAGCAGTGAAGGAACAGCCAAGACAGCAGAAGGAGCAGCCAGGAATGTCACAGTCACTGCGGCTCAGGAGAAAGAGTCAACTCCAGAGGTCAGCATGAAGGCGGACAAGACCATCCCAGAGAGGAGCAGTTTCTATGACAGGAGGGTAGTTATAGACCCTCAGGAGAAACCCAGTGAGGAGTCCCTTGGGGACCGAAGGACAGTCATTGACAAATGCTCTCCACCCCTAGAGTTCTTGGATGACTCTAACTCTCATTTAGAAAATCAACAGGTAAGTCAAGCTTGTGCCAGGCTTTTGACTTTTTAGTTCTCTTGATGAAATGTGTTCCATCTTTCTAGTTTGATCCTAAATGTTAAGAATTAAAACAGTACTTTACTTAACTAGGCTTCCAGGAAACAAATGGATGGTTTTCTTCTAACATACTTTTCAGATTTTCAGAGTTATTAATAAACCTCAACTGAGTGTTTTTTTTTTTTTTTTTTTTTTTTTTTTTTTTTTTAAAAGGATTTATATGTTAGGATATGGGTTTGGCTGCTGTGTAAAAGGCCAAAATAACAGTGGCTTAAACAAAATAGTTTGGCTTAAGAAGGATGGCTCCATCATGTCAGAGATGCTGGTGCCTTTTGTCTTGATGCTCTGCCACTCCTCAACACAGTATCCATCTCTTGGTGTGAAATGGGTACTCTGTTAGGACTCAGCGTTTGTTATGTGGTCATTCTGGCCAGTGGGGAGGGGAGAAGAGGAAAGTGCATTCCTCCCCTCTTAAGAGCTTGGCTCAGGAGCTGCACACGTCGTATCTGCTGTTGACAAGAGCCTGGAAACCTGGCTGACACCTAGCTGCAAGGGAGTCTGGAAAATCAGTCTTCATCTAGGCAGACTTATACCTGGATAATCAGAGAAGAAGGGAAGGATGTCATTGGAGGGAAACTAGTTTTTAATACAGCTTATAATTGAGGGGAAGCATCAATTTTTTTTTTTTTTTTTTTTTTTTTTTT